GGGTTTTATCAATACCGCCGTTTTCGGCGGGATAATAGCCTGATTTTTTGCCCGCGCCGCCGCGTTCGCCACTCCTCATCGATCGGCAAATTTAATGAAGTTGTATCAGTTATCGACCCGCTCCGCTTTTTCTTGCAATTTTAGTAATTAATTTCTCGATTTAGTCTCTTGACGTCAGTGTTCGACAACCGACATCCTCCGTCCTCCGTGTCGCTGCTAAATTTATGGATAACCCGATCCCCCTCCCCCTCTTCCTCGCTTGGACTCTTGATTTCTCCTATAATTTTCTCTTTTAAAAACTCATCATCTTGTTTACGCGATTTAATGCTTTAGAAATTTGTAAATGCGATAGTTTGGGAATTGATAATATAAAATTGATAATTCCCTTCCGATCTCCGATTAACCCAATCTGACGTATGAACGTATGAAGCGAGAGATAAGTTGTTATAAAAATTCTATAAATTTGAATTTTAAATGTCGAAATTTTTGATAATGGTTTCCGTTATGTCAACGCGTATGAAATTCGAAATTAATTCGTTGGTCCAAGAAAAAACGTTCGATTGAATTACCAGGCGTACAAGACGAAAAGAATTATATATAATTTCTCTCAAAATGTTCCTTTTTATCCCCTACTAAATCGTATTATGCTAACGTATCCCCAGTCCCAGCTTAACAAACACGAAATTCCATTAAAAAAAAAAAAAAAAAAAGGAGAGAATGAAAGATACAAAAGAAACCACGGGAAGTCAACGTTACGAAGTCAGCAGCCATTCAAGAGTATATCCAGTAACACCGGTAACGCTCGTGGCGTGCATCTAATTAACGTCGATCGCGACAGGGGGAAAAAGAAGGAAACAAAGGGAGAGAAAGAAGTGTAAAAAGAGAGAGGAAGAAAGGGAAAAAACGGTAGAAAAACATCGTTTCGCCTTAATATCGTGGAAACGATCACGCGGCACAATGACGTTTGAGACTGTAACCAGCTCATAATGGCGGCTCGCCGTTGGCCGCGATAATAACATTAAGCTTTATTTAGGTGAAATTCAACTTTAAAACGTGACTCGCGGTAATTATGCGAGAGTGAAACAATGCCCGGTGGTGGCCTGGCCTCGCATGATATACGTCTGCGGGTTTTTGCAAGACAAAGGCGTTTTATATCGCGCGCATTCGCCGCCCGCAACTTGCACGCGGTTTTGTGCCTTCGGCCGCGCGCGTCGCACCAAGTTTATGCACTTCACGCGCGCCTGCGCGAAACGCGCCTCGTGTTTGAGAATTCCCCTTCACGGACAAAGCTCGCTCGTTGCTCTCTTTTTAAATCGCCCACGCCTCCCCACCCTCCAGGTGTTCGGCCTGCTTTCGTTTCTAGGACGCTAGGATTATTGTAGGCGCTATTTACGCCTTGTGATTTCGCGGGTGAAACGTGTTCTTATTTATTGTTCGTTCCTGGTTTGAGGGTGAGTTGTGTAGATTGGATAGATTTCGGAAAAGTTTTGTTTCGTGTTAGGAATAGAATGCAGGTTGTGTTGCGCGGGAATGGAAGTGAAAGAGTTTAGAAATTCTCTTTCCGTTTACTGTTCGTATAAAATATATGGACAAAACTGAAAAGATTTAGAATTTTCTATTTCTTTGGTCGAAGAAGAAAATTCGTCAACTATTTCTTTATTTCGTATAATTTGATATATATTTATTTCTGATTAATATATGATATAGGGAGACGAAATAAATTTATCCATTGACTAGAGTTTTTAATAAAAAAAAAAATTGTATATACACAGAATAATTAATCTCAATTTCTTTTTATATACGAATACGCAGATTTTTAGGAAGCACATTATTGTAAATATTTCTACGTATTATAATCCGATAGAGCAAAATTTCTCTTTCTTTTTATTATACCTCTCGTAATAAGCATAATAACAAACGTAGTTATCCTCACAACACGTTATTCGCATGAGTTGAAAAGAACATTTTCTGTATATTTTGGAGGTAACAATTCGTTTAAGAATCTAGGTACACTAGACACAATGCGTCACCCGTTAAAAATCTCTTTCTCTCTCTCTCTTTCTCCGAGTACAAAGGGTGCAAAAAAAAAAAGAAAAGAAAAGAAAAGAAAAGGGGGAAAGAACAACGTGGAAACCGGGCAAAGTGTCTGCGCGATAGTTTTTAATATGTAGTATTAATTCTACGCGGAATTACTTTCTCTGCTGAGAAGTAATGAGGGAACCGTAAAAGGCATCGACGTAACGAGGCGAGAGAGAAAAGGGCAACGGTATACTTGCTTGTATTTCCTCCCCCCTCCCATTATTGTCCAAAAAAAAGAGAAAGAAAGAGAGAAGGGGAAAAGAAGGATAAAAAAAAATTCGCTTTCTTCGGTCCGGTGGCGGTCGCTTTGCCGTTTGACTTTTCTAATTACGAATTCGAGCGTTCTATTGGAACGCGTTCGCGGAAGGAGTCGCAAAGTACGTGTCAGAAATTACGTAACCCCCTTTTATACTTTCGCCTCTTTTTTTCTCTTTCCACCCCCTTCTGCACATATAATAAATAATATTCTCCTCTTTTTTTTTTTTCTTCCTTTTAATTGAAAAAACGCAGCAACGAATTTAATTACAACGATGTCCATACAAACTTTCTTTTCCGATTGTGAGCCACGTTTAATTAATTACAGAATATAAACGCAAGTCCCGCGCGCTTAAGTTACTTACGGGGGAGAGGGAGGGAGGCAAAAAATTAATAAGACTCGATTCGATGAAGTTTTAAAACCGACAAAAAAAAAAAAAAAAAAAAGAAAGAAACGAAGGAAGTCGAAGGGGACCGAATATAATGAAATTCCAAGCTTGTAACAGTAATTCATCACTTTTTCAAGAGCGCGAACAAGAGCGCAAAGTTTTTACCCTTTGGATCGAGAGAGAGATTTATTATCGTCCCGATTATCCCGATTTTACTTTTACTTAAACTGGGAAAATAAGCCGGGAATCGATTTCCGCGAGGTGTTGTTTCTAGCCGATGTCCAGCAATCTCGCAATTACTACTTGCAACGATAACACGTTTCAAAATAACAGCTTTTCACGCCGACCCCTTCGACGAGGTAACAGTGTCGCTATTGTTAAGCAATATCCCTAATGCGGTGTCAATTCATAAATAGCCGCGCACCAACACGCGCTTTTGCACGCACACGGGACACCATGCGCCAATGCGACATCGCTGTAAATGACGACCATCGACGAGAGCCGAGGTATAACTGGACGTTACATGGCCGGCACATAAACGTTGCCTCCGTCCACTCTGTGGACAGTAATTACGCGTTATGCGCTCACCGCCGATTCAACCCTCCCCCCACCCTCTCCCTTTTCCCGTTGAAAAAGAAAATTTCGCGCCGCGTAACCGCGAATGAACACCGTTAAAAAATCTTCCGTATCGTTGTTTCTTTTTTTTTTTTTTTTTTTTCAAATAACCACGAGTCGACGAGTTATCTTGTCGGCAAATCGAGAACTATAAAGCGAATTTCGTTTATTCTGCAGAGAGGGGGGGAATTAAATAAACGAGAATCACAAAATTTGAAAATTTCGCGATATTAAAATATTGGAGCTCGGTGGAGGAAATGTCGAATATTTAATTAATTATCAGTTAATATAAGTATATTCTAATATTATAATCGACGCGTTGAACGGAGGGAGAATAGTTAATACTAAAATATTCGTTTCATCGATATTTTATTTCGTAATTTTCGAATCGAACGATAAGCATTAATCGTATTAAACTAAGTTTCTACTAAATACCTGTTTTTAGGATCAATTTCATTTTCGTTGTACCCAATATTTCTTTCTCTCCCTTTCTCTCTTAATTACGCGAAACGATACGAATATATTTAATTCAATTATTATAATCGTAACTGCCAAATATATATTTTTCCCTAACCAAATAATAATTCTCCAATTTATCTTATCCATTCCTCAGCTATCTTCTCCCATTTATCTTTATCTAATCCAACAACCCCCGTTCACTCCTATCCCATCTACCTCACGAACCAATTACTAACCCTCCTCAAAATCCATAATC